TGGCAAGAAGAAAACCCGGAGGATAACCAGTCGGAGCTGGAGGCAATGCCACTAGGCCGGCTGGAGTAAGGAAGAGGGACGCAAGGGCCCTAGAAAGAAAGAAACGGTATCTGGGGGTAGGTTTTACAGTTGCCCCGTGGTTATAACTTTCCTGTACCTAGATATCCGTAGAGCCATGAGGATGGCCACATAAAAATGCCCAGCCGCCGCCGCGGGCACGTCAGAGGACCGCAAGCTGTGGTCGCTCGACGGGACTGACCCGGTCAGCACCCGAGGCACTGACGTTAATCGATCTACTACTACTCTCCCTTCTACCGAACAACCTTCTCCGGAAAAAATCTTTTTCTCCTAACGGCAGCCAATAGGAGGCCGGCAGGGCAAAAGATCCGGAGTAAACCTAGCAGAGGTGGTTCAACTGCATCAACAACCAGGGCTCTCCTCCGGAGGGCAACAACAACCGTGGCCCTCGTTAAGGGCAGGCCCTCCTCACGGAGGGCAACAATGTCAATCGGCGCGCCCCTTCCAGGAGGCCCGCGCGCCCCCAACAACAACAGGTGCTCCTTCGGAAGCACAAATAATTCGCATTCTGGCTATCCCTCCTAGGTGCTAGACACTACCTCAATCGGCGCGCCCTTTCTAGGCCCACGCGCCCGCCAAAATACACTCCCCGACCACGATCGCGGAACAGCTCCTTCGGGAGCATCAACAACCTCAATCGGCGCGCCCCTTCCAGGCCCGCGCGCCCCCCAAACAAGCGGGGAAGCCCTCGCCTCCCCCAACCCTTCGGGCACCGACGCCGTCGATGCCCAACACACCCAAAATAGGCGGGGCCAACCCAGGCCCCACCAATAAAAAAATGGGGAAAGATGCAGGCTGCTGCTGCCCCCAAACAAAAAGGAGGAAAACAGCTGGAGCGAGCCGGAGCGGGTGCCGGCGCGCGGGAGCTGTAGGGAAGAGGGACGTTAGGGCCCTAAAAAGAAAGAGAAGGCTCTAGGGGTAGGGTTTTACAGTTGCCTCGTGGTTAGAACTTTCCCTGTACCTAGAGACCTTAGAGCCGGCACAACGCGGCCACAAAAACTCGCCCAGCCACCGTCGCGGGCGCGTCAGAGGGTAGCCGATGCGACCGCCCGAAGGGACTGGTCCGTGCGCGAACACGGTCCAGCGCCTAACGGCACTGACGTTAATATATCATCGTCAATAGACCGTTACCCAATTTTGAACGACATGCAGCCGGCCGGTTCCCCAACTCTCTTCGTCCCTTTCTCAAGGCGTTTCGGCTTGCGTGCACGGGCGTAATAGTGCTGACCATCCCGAGCACTCTGGCGTCGCGACCTAAATGCCATTAACCCCCAGCCCAGCCTCGAATTTTCAGTGGCGGTACTCGTTGCCTGCTTTGGATGCCTTTGCGCGGTTCTGTCGGCATTTTCGTGGGAGCATGGAGCCCAAGCGAAGGTCGGGCACGAGTTGCATACGGGCGACGTTTTCGGCCAATAGTCTCGACAGCATGCTACCTGCACATTAGGTACATCTAGTTGCCACGAAATGTCTGCCTGGCGGCTGGGCATATGCGGCCATCCAACCAGCCAGCAGCAGATGCTCAGCCATCGAGCCATTTCCCCTCATTTGCCCCCTTCTGCTTTTTCGCTCATTCATCCTCCATATCGCACTGGCACCAACCACCAATACCGCAACGCCGGCACAAACCAGCACCAAAAGCACCATCATGGCCCTGTCCCTGCCGAGTGGACCTGCAAAGCAAATGGAGACTGAAAAGGACATGGAGCAACGGTTCAAAACGACAATTGACAACCTGGTCGCGGAGTGGGACGAGAAACTGTCCAAGGACGAGGACTGGGCCGACAAGGACAGAAGCGCCAAGATCAGAGAGATCTTCGTGAGCGAGATCTGGAGTCAAGTCAAGGACGGTTACGACAAGATGCTGCAAGACCTTAAGGCGCATTTCAAGGCCCGTCTCGAAGCGAAGGACATCGCTGCCGACTTGTTTGCGAGGGTCAAAGAGGTTGGCTCGATCAAGACCACCCTTGAGCGTCGGGAAAAGACCAAGCTTTTCGCAAGCATCAACGACGTCTTCATCGAGATGCACGACCTTGTGGGGCTCCGGATCGTGCCACACACTTCCGAAGCCCGAAAAGAAGTTCAGGACTTTATCGACAAAGAGTTCCATCAGCTGAAGCCAACAGCGCACATCTCGTCGGACCGCAAGGTCGGCGAATTCTGGGACGTGCGCTTCGGAGCTTACGAGTCTAACAATCACCGAGTCGGTATCAACCTGGAGTATGGCGCATACGGTGGAAGTTTGTCATCCTACGAGGGTGTCATGTTCGAAATCCAGGTGACATCCTTAGCCGACATGCTCGGCAACATCCTTGCGCACCCGCTCCAGTACAAGAAGAAGCACGGCCCGCTCGACAAGCGAACGGAACAGACGCTGGACCTCTTGAAGGGAACCTTCAAATTCCTTGACGTGCACCTCGAGCAGTTCTTCGACGCGTACGATGCCATGCTCGAGGAGAAGGCGATCGAGGCCGAGTCTGGCTCAGGCTCAGGGCGAGTCATGACCAAGGCAGCCAAAGCTGCTGCCTTAGGTGATTTGGGCAAGATGAGAGCAGATGTGGCAGCGGCTGTCACGAAAGCTCTCGAGGAGCGTATGCACCATTTGGCGGACGGCGTACCAGACACGCCTTTCAGTGCGCCTGAATACTGGCGTCAAATAAAAAAGCAGAGCAACCAGTTGAAGTATGTTTCCTATCTCTTTCCCATTTTTACTCACTTCCTTCTTGTACTAACGCTTCATCAGGGAATTTCAGCGCAAGTTCCAACAGCAACAAGACCGTCAATACCTGGAAAAGCTTCCAGTGGCAAAAGGCGCTGCATTCGATGCCCAGGCGAACGAACACGACCCTAGCTGTCACCCCGACACCCGCGTGGACCTTCTCGCCGACATTCACAAATGGATCGAGGATCCCAACGGAAAATGCATTTTCTGGCTGCGTGGCATGGCCGGCACCGGCAAGTCCACCATCTCTCGAACAGTGGCCAAAAAGCTTTCTACGGCAAAGGTGCCCAGTGCGAGCTTCTTCTTCAAGAAAGGCGAGGGCGACCGCGGCAGCGCGGCCAAATTCTTCACCACCATACTCGCCCAGCTCGTCCGCCGGGTGCCGATCTTGGCATCACATGTCCAAAGCGTAATCGAGAACGATCCAGCCATCGTCGACAAGAACAAGAAAGAGCAGTTCGAAAAGCTCATCCTTGAACCACTGAACAAGTGCAAGGTTGCCAGTTCCCCGCTGCTTGCTGTGGTGGTGGATGCCCTTGACGAATGCGATCGAGAAGAGGATGCGAAGGTTCTTGTATATCTTTTCTCGAGAGCTGGGGAGGTCGCGTCATTCCGTCTCCGATTCTTCGTCACCAGCAGACCCGAGTTGCCCATCCGCCTTGGCTTTAAAGAAATCGGCGACAACTACCAGAACCTGGCCCTCCATAAAGTGCCTAAGCCCGACATAAAAAGGGACATTTCCACGTTTTTACGCTCAGAACTAGACCGCATCCGTCAGGATTTCAATAAAACCGTACCAGGACCAGGTTTGCCATCTGATTGGCCCCCACCAGCCCGTTTTAAGGATCTCGTCAACATGGCTGTACCGCTTTTCATCTTCGCATCAACCGCTTGCCGCTTCATTGCCGATATCCACTACGGCAATCCTATGGAGCAGCTAGACAAAGTTCTCGAGTACAAAACAAAAAGAGGACGGTCTCAACTGCACGCAACATACCTGCCAATTCTAAACCAGCTTCTTCTTAAGCGCACAAATACAGGGTCGGATAAACGTACAGGGGAAGAAGAAGCCCAAATCATTGCGTGGTTCCGCGATATCGTTGGAACCATCGTACTACTTGCCGACCCTCTCCCTTCCGCATCGCTGGCACTTATCCTCGGCAGAACTCAGCACGACGTGGACTCGAAGCTGTGCACATTGCATTCTGTCCTTGATATTTCGGATGATCCCCTCGTCCCTGTCAAGCTGCTCCACTTGTCCTTTCGCGACTTTCTCGTTGACCAAGAGAATCGCGATGCGAATCCCTTCTGGGTTGACGCGCAAAGGACCCATGAGCAGCTGGCAGGCCGCTGCCTCAAACTGCTGTCAACTGGCGACACCCTTAGAAGAGACGTTTGCGATCTGCGCCATCCCGGCACACTCCGGTCCGAAACCAGCCTACAGACTATCAATACTGCCTTGCCGCCCGAAGTTCAGTATGCCTGTCGATACTGGGTCCATCACTGGAAGGAGAGCAGACGGCAGATACGAGATGGTGATCCGGTTCACCTCTTTCTGACTGATCGTCTGCTGTACTGGCTTGAAGCTTTGGGCATAACGGGGCGAATCCTGGAAAGCTTTGACATGGCAAACTGTCTGCTGGATATGCTCCAGGTAAGTATTTCTACCATTTTAAATCAGTATCAAAAGCTTATTAACAAACTATTAGCCGGAGAACAGTACTGCAGCGTCAGCGTTGATTCATGAATTGCAGCGTTTTCTTTTAGCGAATGCTACTGTTGTCGATGCATCACCTCTCCAGATCTACTACTCGGCCCTGGTGTTTGCACCAGAAAAAAGTATAGTTCGGAAACTATGGCGTAAAGAATTTCCGAATTGCATTTCATTACTATCACCAGTGGATTTGAATTGGAATGCGTACCAGACGCTCGACGGGCACAGCGGTTCGGTCAGGTCCGTCGCGTTCTCGCCCGACGGCCAGAGGCTCGCGTCGGCCTCTGACGACGAGACCGTCAAGCTCTGGGACGCGACGACGGGCGCGTGCCTGCAAACGCTCAAGGGGCACAGCGGCTGGGTCAGGTCTGTCGCGTTCTCGCCCGACGGCCAGAGGCTCGCGTCGGCCTCTGACGACGAGACCGTCAAGCTCTGGGACGCGGCGACGGGCGTGCGTGTTAGGGATCACCGGTACCAAAAAGGCGAGGCTGCAGCAAAGTACCGCAAATTTGACGATTTGAAGCTATGGTACAAAGGAAGAATTGGTGCGCTGCACCGAATCCAATCTGCAATGTTTTCTCGGGCAACGTTCGAAGGGCACAGGGGCGGGGTTAACTCTGTCGCGTTCTCGCCCGACGGCCAGAGGCTCGCGTCGACCTCTGACGACAAGACCGTCAAGCTCTGGGACGCGGCGACGGGCGCGTGCCTGCAAACGCTCAAGGGGCACAGAATTTGGGTCAACTCTGTCGCGTTCTCGCCCGACGGCCAGAGGCTCGCGTCGGCCTCTTTCGACAAGACCGTCAAGCTCTGGGACGCGGCGACGGGCGCGTGCCTGCAAACGCTCAAGGGGCACAGCAGCTGGGTCAGGTCTGTCGCGTTCTCGCCCGACGGCCAGAGGCTCGCGTCGGCCTCTTACGACGAGACCGTCAAGCTCTGGGACGCGGCGACAGGCGTGTGCCTAACGACGCTCGATGGGGTAACTTCCACTTTATCATTTGATAAGACAGGCTCGTACCTCCATACAGATTTTGGGACTAAATTGCTACATAAAAAACCAGCTGCTGGTCCAGCAACGGTTCAAGCTCATTTGCAGCACCAAGATTTTGAAGGTGTTGGCACCAGTGCTAATAAAGCATGGATCACCTGGAATGGAAAGCGCTTTGTGTGGCTGCCTACTGAATACCGTGGGCAATGTACAGCCATAGCAGGATTAACAATAGCTTTAGGCTGTTCATCCGGGCGGGTGTTGTTCTTCCAGTGGTCAGGAGCCTCTTGATGGAGAAAGTTTTCCTTGCTTTCAATCCTCTTTTTTCTTTTCTCTTTGCCCGTTCCCGGGTCGCAGGGGACCGCGCATTTTTATAGGTTTGTACTGCTCTTGAAGAATATGTTGGGACCGTCTAGCGTTTTCCATTAACTCAGTGACGAACGTGTTTTGCCACCCCATTTGTCACGGCTGGTAAGGGGTCCAGCCGTCACGTGACCCTGGATCACACGCCGCACTAGATAACCCCAACTCCCACAGTGATAGGCGTGCACGCGGCATGAGGTCCGTAGGGACCGGCAAACAGGTGGAAAACGTCATGGAGATGAAGTCTTCGTCTGTCGATCTGGGGAGATCGCAGCGGGTCTATCTAGGTGCCTGGAGGCCCGTGCACGGGCGGTCGACCCACAGGTCCGTGGACCTATCACACAGCCGGCCCTACGGGCCTGCACGGGAATACCATCTTTTTGCTCTTACATATACCAGACTGTGACGGCCCAGGGCAATTCCTGCATGATAGCTCCATGGACCTATCGGTCGGCCCGTGCACGGTCCTCCAGGTAGATAGACCCGCCGTCGATCCCTCCAAATTAACGGACGGTCGACTGTCATCTCGTTTTCTCTCTGATAGTATCATGGACCTGTAGGGGTGATAATTGAGGGGAGCAGAAAGATGATATATCGGAAAGACCGGCCCGCAGGGCCCGTATGCGCGAGGGCCGGATATTCCTCGTGCGGGGTCACGTGCAGTGTGGCCGCCTATCTAATCGATCGCTGCGATCGAGAACTTCTGCTGGATACAAGAGACCCTACAGGCCGTGACAGATAGGTACCCTATGCGGGCGCACTCCGCGCACCGCGCGCACCGCACGCATATCACTGCACGCCTGGGGCATCCATGGATCACGGGGCTCAGG